TCTTTTTTTTTTTTTTTTTTTTTTTTCAGATTGTTAATTTCGACTTCTAAAAATAATATTTTACAATATATTTCTAACAATGAATCTAAGATTTTTTCAAATTTAGAGGGAATGAACACCCCTCTCTGTTGTTCTCTTTGTATGTGAAATATAAATAAAAAAAAATTAACAATAATAAATTGCTTGGTTAAGAATAAACCGCAAAATTAGAATACGTCTGACATAAAGTACTGGATGGATTTCATTTGAAGATATACTATTAATTAAAATAAAAACCATTTTTTTTTTCTTTTTTATCTTTTCTGAACAACATCAAAAATAATGCTATTTCCTTACATAAACTTTCAAAAAATAAAAAGAGCAAAGCGTAATTTGTTAATTGAAACATATAGACTAGTCAACTTTAACAATTTTCGCAGAAGGTTTTACACTCAGATTAGGAAGTAATTATTATATTAAAAAATTTAACTACTATTTAGGTGGGCAAAGCTAAATATGCTTCGAAACGCTGGCGAAATTATATAGTTTTCTCTTTTAACTGGCTACTACTTATTTAAAAAACAAAGAAATCATTGAAAATCTACGTAATAGACTTATTCACTTCAAATTATGTTAAAATAACTTATTAAAGCTGTTATAGTATCAAAATTTATCGCTACGACGTAAGAAAGGAGAAAAATAGTTAAATTTTATCTACCAGTATTTATAAAACATCGTAATCGGGGATATATATTATGAAAAGCGTCTTTACTAATGTGGTCGGCTGATGGCTGTACTCTCTGATGTAATGACCGACAGTGATGTTGGCAATAACATCGCAGCATCCAATGCATTTTCGGTGTATTGGCGGCTGTTGCTCCCTGCGTTGGAGTAGTTCCACCTACCACAGCGTTCTGTTCCAGCGCAGGAGTAAAAAATCCTTCAACCTTTAACAGAACCAATCAACCCAAATGTAAATGAATTATTAGAGAAGTATGGCTGTCGGCTGACTTTTGAAAAACAATTGTATTTAATTATTTTTAATTGAATTTTAAATTGTATAAATTAATAGCGATAATCAATGAGTTTTCGATTCTGGACACAACTGAAAATGCGTGAGTAAGAAAATGGACACAGCTCGAATTGCGTGTTTATACTTGCCAGCTCTTCCGGTTTTCCTGGAAGATTTTATTTTTAATGTGGTGGCAAAATTTATGGAATCACATTTTAATCTTCATTAAATAAATATGGTTAAAAATGATTTTAACTACATTTGAATAATTTAAACATATGTGTGACAGGCTTCTAGCTCTCTGATAGTGTTTTGAACTGTTTGCTAAATTTTTACGAAGCACCAACATACAATCTCAATTTAATTGGCTTTAGCCTACCCTTAGGAAAACACCGTTTTAAAAAGCATAAAAGTTGGCAGGTATGCGTGTTTAATAAAATCGATGTAGCTCGAAATGAGTGTTTAAGAAAATCGACACAGTTCGGAATGTGTGTTTCAGAAAATCGACACAGTTCGAAATGCGTGTTTAAGAAAATCGACACAGCTCGAAATGCATCTTTAACCCTTTAACGGGCCGTTTATTTCTAGTAAAGTAAATTAAAGTATTTTTGGAATTGAAATTGTTTTAAGAACAGTAATTGATATATAAAAAAGAACTCATTTAGTTTATAAAAATGCCATTTTTTTGGTGGTAAATATTTTTAACATGACCTATTAGGAACTTACTGACTTTTATTTTTCTTTATTTATAAAATAAATTCCTTAAATGCTACAAACTTCAAAAGGAATTATGTATTTATAACTTTTATACGTTTTTTAAAAGTGACAAATGGTTACCAATTTTATGCTTACAAATGGGTACCAAACTCATTTCAAGAAAGCTGAAGTTATTGAAAAATGGAAACTTAAATTAAAAGTGGTAAAACGTGGTGGCAAGTATACTTACCACGGCCTGCAAAAGGGTTAAGAAAATGACCCACCCCGAAATGCGAGTTTCAGAAAATGGGCTCAGCTAAAAATGCATCTTTAAGAAAATTGGACCCAGCCCGAATCCTTGAGCAGTATTCCGAGAATCATTTCGTCAGAAAATCGAATTTGTGACAAAACACAAACTTTCAAATGTATTACAAAAATATTTCCTCAATACGAATCCTCATCGTAGTGCATTGCTAGAGATTGTTAACTTGAATGACGAAAGTTGAATAAAGACGAAACAACCGAAAATATGCTGGAGAATTAAGCCGACCGCCCTGAAACCAGGAAGGACAGGAGTTTGAATCCTGTTTCGGGAGTGGGTGTAACTTAACTCTTGCATCAACACCTGTATGGTACCCACGTAAAGGGAATTATTAATAATGTTCGATACATTAAGTATTACGAGTTTTTTTTGGGGGTATATATATATANATTTGGACTGATTTTTGATGGGGCAACATAAAAAAAATTATTTTGATGGTATTTTCCTGCTGAACCAACAATAATTATTATTAAACCACCAAGAAAATGCATTGTTGCACCATTATGGACCATCACGAATTTCCATCATAGTATCTTAGAAATGAAGTGTTTGAACGATCATAAACACCCATCATCCCGATGTAGGAATTCGGACTGATTTATGATGGTCCAACATAAGAATAGCAACGTGTTTTGATAGTTTGTTCATGTTGACCCATCAGAAATTTCCATCCTAGTATCTTAGAAAAAAAATTTGGAACTATAAAGAACCACCATCACCCCAATTTCGGAATTTGGACTGATTTTTGATGGGGCAACATAAAAAAAATTATTTTGATGGTATTTTCCTGCTGAACCAACAATAATTATTATTAAACCACCAAGAAAATGCATTGTTGCACCATTATGGACCATCACGAATTTCCATCATAGTATCTTAGAAATGAAGTGTTTGAACGATCATAAAAACCCATCATCCCGATGTAGGAATTCGGACTGATTTATGATGGTCCAACATAAGAATAGCAACGTGTTTTGATAGTTTGTTCATGTTGACCCATCAGAAATTTCCATCCTAGTATCTTAGAAAAAAAATTTGGAACTATAAAGAACCACCATCACCCCAATTTCGGAATTTGGACTGATTTTTGATGGGGCAACATAAAAAAAATTATTTTGATGGTATTTTCCTGCTGAACCAACAATAATTATTATTAAGCCACCAAGAAAATGCATTGTTGCACCATTATGGACCATCACGAATTCCATCATAGTATCTTAAAAATAAAATGTTTGAAAGATCTTAAACACCAATCATCCCGATGTAGGAATTCGGACTGATTTATGATGGTCCAACATAAGAATAGCAGCGTGCTTTGTTCATGTTAACCTATCAGAAATTTCCATCATAATATCTTAGCAAAATGTTGGAACTATAAAGAACCACCATCACCCCAATGTCGTAATTTGGACTGATTTTTATGCATTGTTGCACCATTATGGACCATCTCGAATTCCATCATAGTATCTTAAAAATAAAATGTTTGAAAGATCATAAACACCCATCATCCCGATGTAGGAATTCTGACTGATTTATGATGATCCAGCATAAGAATAGCAACTTGTTTTGATGGTTTGTTTATGTTGACCTATCAGAAATTCCCATCATAATATCTTAGAAAAATTTTTTTGGAGCTATAAAGAACCACCATCACCCCAATGTCGGAATTTGGACTGATTTTTGATGGGCCAACATAAAAAAAAATTATTTTGGTGGTATTTTCCTGCTAAACCAACAATAATTATTATTAAACCACCAAGGAAATGCATTGTTGCACCATTATAGACCATCACGAATTTCCATCATAGTACCTTAAAAATCAAATGTTGGAATGATCATGAACAACCATCATCCCGATGTAAGAATTCGGACTGATTAACGATGGTCTAACACAGGGATGGGCAAACTACGGCCCGCGGGCCAATTGTGGCCCTCCGGAAGGTTTTATCCGGCCTGCGGATAGAATTTTAACTTGCCGATCCGTCGCAAATATAAACAATATGCATTATACATATTTTCCTACTTTGTTTAAAGCTAGCTTTTTTTTTTCTTTTTTAATAAATTCTGATGACCTTTTTACTTTCTCTATTTTCGTTCTACAAAACATAAGTTGATGGAAATATCTTCAGACAGCTTTTCAATTGGTAACATGCTGAAAGCAGAAGTTCTTCCTAGAATAGCTGTAGAATGGCGCCAACAAGCGTTTGTCTTTCTCGAGGAGTAGACAATACGGAATCTAATGTACGCGAATTGTGCTTCACATGTGGCAGACAGCGCATTTTAAGCTCTAACGAGCGAATTTTTCATTTTTCTGCCGGCGTGAATTATTTATTACGTATGGAAAGATTGCACACATATAACGTTATTGTAAATAATGGTGAAATTATTATATGCATAAAACAGCTAGTGCTTGTTTAGTTATTTGTAAAAATGTTTAACCCAAAAATGGCGACTAAAAAACACAAAGTTGATTCAGAATGCCGTGCGTTCAATGATGAATGGACTTGGAAATATTTTTTTACAGTTGTTGAAGATAAATCAGCATGTCTTATCTGCAATGAAGCTGTAGCAGTTTTTAAAGAATGCAACATTAACCGACATTTTACAGTCAAGCATAAGAATGCCAACTACGATGCAATATGCAATGTCTGAATGTGAAAGAAGACAAAATGCAGAAAGTCTTCCTAAAAATTATCTGGCCGTCAAAATTTGTTCAAGAATATAAATATTTTTCAAGAAGCAGCTACGCATGCAAGTTACATTGTAGCATACAATATAGCTAAAAATAATAAATCTCTCAGTAATGGGGAGTTTGTTAAACAATGTATGCTCCAAGTTTGTGATGTTTTATGTCCAGACAAGAAAAATAATTTTGAGGCTGTAAGCTTATGGCGAAAAAAAAGTGACATCTAGAATCGAAGATACGATCGATAAAAATTTGGCTTCACAATTAGCACAAAATTTGCACGATTTAAATTTTGTTCAATAGCTATGGATGAAAGTACTGATATAAATGATACTGCTCAGTTAGTTTTATTTATAAGAGGTATTAATGAGAACTTAGAAATTACCGAGGAACTGGCGTACATGCGTTCTTTAAAGGGAAATACAACGGGATGTGATATTTTTCGTGAGTTTCAGGAAGGGCTTTTAACTTTGAAAGTGCCCATAACAAAATTATATAATATTACGAATGATGGTGCACCAAATATGACAGGAAAAAAATCTGGATTCCTTGGACTCTTTAATCAGAACTATCCCGGGAATAAAGTTATTTTTCTACATTGTGTTATACATCAAGATGCTCTGTGTAAATCTGCATTGAATATGAAGCCCGTGCTTGATGCAGTAGTAAAGCTTGTTAATACTATTCGATCTCGTGGGCTTACTCACAGGCAATTCCGAGATTTTCTTCAGTCTGTGCAATCTGAATACTCTGATGTATTGTATTACACGAAAGTAAGGTGGCTTAGTGCAGGATGTGTTTTCGAGCCAGTTTGGCAGCTGAAAGACGACATCATGTCGTTCTTCCATGAGAAACAATGTTTAGCAGAGTGCGAAATATTGGAAGATACAGAATGGCTTTCAGACTTTGCATTTTTCACGGATCTTCTTTGTCATATGAACAACTTGAATGTTAAGATGCAAGGGAAAAATCAATTCATTGATGATATCTGGACCCACCTAAAAGCTTTTAAACTGAAGCTCAATTTGTTTGCTGGGTAGTTCGCCAAGAACGACCTGTCTCATTTCTCGAGGTTAAATTTAATACCCTCAGTAAGTAAGGAAAAGCTTAAGAGTTATGAAGATTGCTTGAAAAAACTCCATTTTGAGTTTTCACACAGATTTCAAGATTTCAGTGCTATTCAAACAGAATTAGATATTTTTACCATGCCTTTCAACGTAAATTGTGAAACAGTGAGGTCGGATCTGCAGCTTGAATTAATTGAGTTGCAATCTAACAATCATCTGAAGCAGTTGTTTCTAAGTGTGAGTTTTACAAATCATTACCAAAAGCTAGTTTCCCAAATTTAATATCTCATGCCCAGAAAATCAGTGCTATGTTTGCTTCATCTTACATATGTGAACAAGCGTTTTCAATTATGAACGTTAGAAAAAATCATTTCAGAAGTAGACTAACTGACAAACATTTATCCTCCTTCCTTAAAATAAGTACATCTCACTTCGAGCCTCAATATAAGGAACTTTTAAAAATGAAATCGCAATTCCATTCATCTCATTAAAAATTGCATATTCTTCCTTTTACGCATTTTGTAAGTTGTCAAGAAATTTTTTTTTAAAGAAACCTTAAAATCCATTGCAATAACTGGGAAAAAAAATTATAATAAAATCACGTGTAATTACCACGAAATCTCACGAATCGGACGCGTCAAGAAGAGCTTAAAATATTTAAGAGATACAAATGTTGTAATAAATAATATCGTATTAAAAATATCAAGATTTTGAAAAAGACGAGAAAATTAAATCAGTGATAACTGCTAAAAAATTTATTGGAAAAAACGATAAAATTATCGCGTCCAATAGTGAATATTTGTGTGCACGATTTGAATTTCCCGTATTATAATACTATCGAGATTTTACGAAATCACGTGAAAATCATCAATAACTGAAAAAAAAATCAGTGTCGTGTCAAAAAGTGACTAATAAATGCACAAATTGATTTTTGCCGGTAGTAATAATGTAAAAAAAAAAATAATTATATATATAGGGGCTTAAAAATTACATATTGAGAAAATTCGTAGCAATAATAGCCGATAAAACGATCGAAACACCGCATGGAATTACAATGGAAACGATGAAAATCGAATGCATCAAAAATTACTCGTATGCGTGATTCAAATTTTGCATATCGTAATACAGGAATTTTAGAAACCATGAGAAAATGAATTGCATTAACTGAAGGAAAAAGAAAAGATACAAACAATGCTTAATAAAAAATTTGGATTTCATTTTTCTTTTTTTTTTAATTTTGAATGAATTCTGATCTTGATGTGAAATTTTTAAATCAAGTGAACACGAATTCCAATGGGATATTTTTAAATCAGTTGAATACCAATGGAGATGTGTAATTATAAATCGCAGGAATACGTCTAGAGATGTGAAATTTTTAATTGCGTGAAAACGACCAGAGATGTGAAATTTTAAATCGGGTAAATACGAATCGTGAAATGTAGTTTTAGATCGCGTGAATATTCAATCGCAATATGATTTTCAAATGTAGTGAATTAAATTTTGAATCGCGATTACAGAGATAAGAAAATGCGTTCTAAAAATTTTTTTCAGAAGTTCGAAAAAAAAGAAATTTTTTTTAGAAAAAGCGGGGGGGGGGGGGNGTATTATAATTAAATTGAAAAAAAAAATTCCACCAAAAAGCTGAAAAAACTCATCTTTGCTCTCTCTGAGAGAACCATACAACTGGAACAGTAAGAAACTTTTGTGGCTAGGAAGAGACACAAAGATATATGATAAGTAGATAAAGTGTATTTGATATGTATTTTATATAAGATAAGTAGATAAAGTGTATTTATAAGGGCCTTCATACGGCCTTTTAATGAGTAACAAAGAGTAATTAATTAGTTAACCCTAATAAATTAATTAAATAAATAAACTACCAATATTAAATAAAAATTGGAGAAAAAAAATTATACAATGAACAATTTCAATAAAGAAAATGTGCTAAATTGATAGCTTTTAAAGTAGACTTCGTGTATCATTTAGCTTTTAAGTTATGATTTCTTGAATAAATATTTTAAATCGCATACCAACAAATTCAATATATTTCATCCTGTGATTAAATAAACTTCTACTCAAGTAAAAAGAAAATGCTGTAAAAATTAAATAACTTACGAAATAAAATTAAATAACTCAGTAATAAATATTATATTAATGAGACCAAGCACAATGAAGACAAAATTAAAATCATCAAAACCAGTTTCAATATTGGATTATTAGAAACTCCTTTCATTTTCATCAGCAATTAGCATGATTTTGAAGCTTTAATCTCACCTTTATCAAAAAGGCCTCAATAATGATTCATTAATATTTTGAAAACCTTTTTTTTTCCTTATTGAAATATTATAGTATGTCTCCCAATGTGTATACAGAATTCTTTTTCTTTACTTTCAATGAGAATTCTGAAAAAAAGATAAGTATAATAATTATAAAATTCAGTAGACATGTTTTGTCACAAGAAGAAATTTCCTTGCAATTTAAAGGGGAAAACTAATTTTTCTTTTCCNGTTAAAAAAAATGCAGTTGAAAGTATTCTTATGCTTTGAGGGCACAAAATTGTTGAAATATGGACAGAATGTGATGGTCTATATCACTCGTAAATAGAAGAGTCTCTAAGGTATCTACATACTTGAATACTTGTTCATGATGCTGAAAGAGAAAATAGAGAATTACTCAACAATCATGAAAGATAAATAAGGATAAATTGAAATTTAAAAAGTCACTTTCTCTAATTTATCAAGTCACCGATACTTAGAATATCAGTGCATAGTAAGGCAATATATAAATTCATAGTGAATGATATTTTGTTTTTATTTTATAACCGCCGTTGAACCGCCAATATAATTTTAGGTTTACGACTACTCCTGTTCAACTACGCAGCCTTGTAATTTTGAACCCAATCCAGAAGACAAGAGAACTCCTGGATCAAGCAATTTGGCTTTGTTGAGGACTTTAATAGAACTAACCCACATTTGAGTTACATGGAGTGAAAAACCACAAAAACCTCCCATGGTTAGACTGACGGCAAGGTAACTCTAACACATGATCCGTCTATCATTGAGCATATTTTAATGCCAGCATTGTGGTCGGCACAAAACGGGTGTGGAATTCATATCGACCAGCCATTACTGGGATTTGAATAACGAATGATGTATCCTGAATAGCAATGCCTTACAATAAATTATTTATTTATTATAAGGCAGCAATTACCATCAACAATAAATATCCAAAAAATACAGCTGACCATATTTTGAGTTACAGTTATGATTATCTACAATAAAGAATGCCTGTTTTATTCTCAAGGTTGATTATGAATTCCCATTAAACAGCTGGAACTCTATGTTGGATTTTAAATGCAAATAGTCTTATGTTTTTAGTGGCTATCAATAATTTTGGTAAAAGTGTTTCCTAGCTGGTAACACTGCACCAGAAAGGGTTTAAAAATAATAGACGTAAAAATAACAAAAAACACAAAAGTTTTAAAAATTTTGTACATAAAAAGTTAATGCGACAAAAATAAAGCAAAATTCTGGGTGAAAAAATGCATGATTTATATTTAAAAATAATATAATAAAATAACATTAAAAAAAATCTTACATTTATACACATTTTGACTTTTAGATTATTCTTTTACTTACATAGGTTACTTTTTTAAAGAAAAATTTCCAATTACTCATAAAAGAAAAAAATTTATAATAAACGGCAAATTTTGAATGAACAATAAATTATTATTCACTTCATTTTCTAGGGCTTGATGAGACAGCACATTAGTGAAGTAGAAATTTAAAAAAGTAATTAAATTTCCGAAAATAATTTTTTCTATTATACAATTTTGATTAGCAAACTCTGAACTTTCTACTTATAAAACTGGCTGTTTTTTTTTCTTTTTTTGTCCTATACAAAATTAAAATCGATGGAATTTTTCAATCAAAGCTGACAATACTTAAATCCACTCCAACTTTTGAAAGAATTTTATGATTGAAGCGGCATGTCCCACCCCCCTACAAATCGCTAGAATTTTATCATTATTCTACAAGGTATTTTTGTACTGTACAATAAATTCTCTGCAAGCAATATTAAAAATAGTATATTTTTTGTTCTTTTAGAATGGGGTAATATGGAAACAGCATAGTTAAAAATGTTTATCTTTTTAAGTTCCAAAAAAAAAATAAAAAAATAAAAAATAGAAAACTAGCTTAGAACTTGACAAACTCAATGTCGAATATCATCTTAGATGTTTCATAAAAGTTTGAAACTAAATTCTACATCTAATTTGTTCTCACTTATTCCGTTTGTTCTATGTCAGCAATTTCAAATCTTCTAATCTCATATTAAATATAAAATAAATTTTATAAGAAATGAAAAAAATCCCCAAATTTTCTTCAGGAAAATTCAACATTTAACGTTAAAAGTAGATTTAAAGATCAATCACTTTTCACTTTTAACAGAGAAAAATTCCAACACAAAGTAGCAAGAGGCATTACATCCTTATATTGCAGAAACTTCTCTCTAAATTTTATAAATTGTGTTAAGGGTCAAATTTGAATCCACATGTGTAGTGTAAAAACAATAAAATGAAATTACCTGAAAAAATACTTCCTGTAGTCGACCTAATATGGCTTTAAACCAATAATTGTTGAAATCCACACCTTCTGCTTCACAACGAGCTATATGTTCTGTCAAAAGCATGATGAACCTCTAAAAAAAGTAAATAATACAACAAATTACACTTTTAATATACATTTCCATAGTTGAACTGTATGATTTATTATATTCACTTCAGGAAATGGGATAGTTTTAACCTGATTTAAAAACTATTAAATTGGGACAGCACATTTTGGTGATATCTTAGAGACCATAAACAGTTATTAAGAAACATATTAATTAATCTGATAAAATTAGGAGCATACATTCTACTGTCAAACGCAACCCTCAATGCCTTCACCCTACTTTCAATATATCACCTTGCATTCCAATAAAAGAAAAGTAGGACAAAATTGAGTAGCTAAAAAATTTTTATAATTGTCTTTCAAACTCATTTCAAAATACTTTAATAAAACATATAAACTTTAATAATAATAGCATTAAAATACCAAACTTTAAAAGTACTAATTAAAGGTGTGAATTAAATCTTTGGATATTATGCTTACCAATAAAATAAAACCAATAACCAAAACATGTTCAAAACATGTATGGTTCAAATACTTTTTAAACAAAAATGAATAATTGATATGTATACATTAAAAAAAATATTAATTAAACTTTTCCAAGAATAATGAAAATCTGTTACAAGAAATTTTAATAAAAATAAATAGTGCTAAACTCAGGGCTGTCAATAAAATAGTGGCTTTAGTTGCTTCAGATATGAAATAGTTTCTCTCTAACAAATTCTTGAAATATTTATACCTTAATGATATAAAATTATTCAAATAGAGTATTTTTTTAAAACATTTACACTTAATATATATAATATGTTAATTTTAAATACACAAAAAACAGAAACTTTAAACTCAAACTGCAGAAGATGCATATCATGTTACACCGATGATTTAAGAAATTCTCAAAATAATTAAATAAAGAGAAAATACATAAGAAAAAAATTTATGCCATATGTACTGTGCTACATAAACATTTTTCCGAGCATAATAATTGTAAATACATAAAAAAAAACATTAAATTTAATGTTTTTAAAATACACATATACTATACTGGTATTTTATAAACTCTATTTAATTTTTCAATGGAAAAATAATAATTAAACATTGAATTAAAATTTTACCAAAAATTACAAACTACACTGGTTTATTTAACAAGAAACAAAAAAAACTATCTAAGAATTAATAAAAGTAATAAAATAGGAATCTTGCTTAGATTCAATTTTAGTATAGATCAGATATTGCAGGTCTCCTAAATTAAATATGACAACTATATGTGAATAAATGATAGTCTAAATTACATAAAATGAAATGAAAAAAATAAAAAATTAGGTAAAACTGTAAAAGGTATTTAATATATTTTATTTGATGACTAAATTTTACATTAAACAAGTTTTAAATACTTGTATATTTTTTTAGTTTAAAAAAATATACAAGTTTTATTACTAAATGCACAATTTATTATTTCTAAAACAGTTCTAAAAAGATGCTATGAAATCATTGAAAAAAACGGTCTAAGAACACTCGAATAAACTAAACATCCTGTTTACACAAACGAAAAAAATCAGACGTGAATTCAACTATGTTTTCTTATGAAGTTAAATTAAACTCTGTAAATTTTACATTAATATGCAACTGTCAATAACAACAGGTCCGAAGATTGTTTTTTCCTGCAATAGACCATGGCAGCGGAATGTTTTCATGCCCCATCAGAGGCTGTAATTGCACTGGTCAAACAGAGTGGGGGGAAAAAACTTGTACAAGAGGATTAAATATAGATAATGGATATGGCAAAAAAGAACCAACCCTTACCTTTACTGTGAAGAGGGAAATAAAATAGCAAATTAATAATTTAAGTAAATTGATTTTTAAAAAAAAATTGCAATTGATTTCAAAATAGCAAGGGTTTTTTTTATATAAATATATTAATGAAATTAGTCCAATTTAGTCACCTATTCTTAAAAAATTGTCATTTCAGTTCCTTTTTAGTTGACAAGGGCAGCTCTAAAATCTTCAACATATTTGACTTTAAAATATTATGTAAAAAATTTTTTTGCCAAATTGATTTTGACTTTATTGCAATAAAGACCACTTAATTTATTAATTGACACAAAAACCAAATTCCTAGGTTAACATGGGGGAATTAGGATGTTGAATGAGTCTGTGTGACACCCTTAAAGATGACTAAGAAAAACAACAACAAAAAAGAGTTAAGAAAGAAAATTTTTTTTAACTAAACTGCCAATTGGAGAGCTAACCAAAATATATCCTTACCTGGAAAATAATTAAGAATAAATTTTTTAAATCACTCTGGGCAGCATCTAATTTTTCTTCCATTTCTTCAATCATTTCTTCTGATGGTCGTACATGATTGGAATCTTCTTCATCGTCTTCTTCCATAGCATCATCTTCCTATTTGATGCGTAACCAAAATTAAAAAAGAAAAAACAAAACGTTTTACAGATAGAGTAGATAAATAACACATTTATAGAAAGATTAGAGAATGATATTTAAATTGAAATAGAAAAGTAAGTTGAAATCGAACAAAATAAAATACAGGACTTTATCAGAAGACACCCTTTACATTTTAATGTGGGTGTGTTTCAGTGAAGAATTGTTTAACAAAATAAAAGTGTTACTCGTGTCTCAAAGCTCCATTTTTAAAAAAAAAGAGAAAATATATAAGATATGTAATCAGAACCAGTGCATAAAAAGTAATACAATTTATAAACAAAAAATAAACAAAATATACAGGTAAAAATTTCAATAAAACTCACCAAAACTAACCTGACTCACCTAAACTAACAAAATATTATTCCAAAAGCTACTTTAGATTGAAATAGATATATGTGTCAAACTAACATTTGGCCAGCAGAAAGAAATAATAGAGAAATTGGAGCTACCAGATAAAAATTATAATAGAATACATTATATTTTACCAAAATTTTTTTAGGAATTAGATAAATAACAATATATTACATCAGTAGTCAGTTAATTTTTTATTTTTTTGTTTAACTTGTTCGGTAAAACAATACAATCAGTTACACTGGATACAACCAACGTCCTAAAAAGTACCCTTCAGAATTTAATGTGTATTAGAACATCAAAACATGCATTAAACACTACAAAAGCAAAACATTTTTGCACCTTCCAAAATAAAACAAAAGACTTGCACTTAAAAGTTTTTTTAATGGAAAAAAATTCATATGTTTTTAAAAACCCTTATTTCTTTTGTCATTATCACACAATGAACATAAACTTCCTTTTAATAAAAGAAGAAAAATCACCAACTTTAAATTTTAATTATAATTAATGATTTGAGATATGCTATCAAAGTGGTAAAATATTGATAATGTATATTGAAATATTGATTAGTGACAGATTTAGACATCAATCACATGTGAAATCAAGAAAAGGTTTACATTGTCTATTTATTTAACAATTTATTTGTAATTGACAAACACGTTTAACACAACTGTAACAAAACTTTTTTTTAATCTCATATATCTTTAGATTTAGAAAATTATTATTTGTAGAGATAAAAGGATATTTTGAATAGTGTCACTAAAGTTTGGGAGTTATTTGGATTTTTATACAATTAAATAAAATTTCAAGTATTTTTTTAGCAATTCTCCAACTTATTCCACATCAATGACTAAACAAACACATACATTCAAAATTAAAAATTTGCCATTGAGGGGTGATAATAAAACATATTAACAAAATAATAATTTATACACAAAAGAATTAACCTAGATGCAAACAGTTATAGAGATCAACTCTTTTAAATGACTAATTACCTTTTGAAGTTTCTTTTTAGCATCATTTACTTGTTTTTCTTGATTAGTCACATAACGAATCATTTTACGTATTGTTAAATGAAGTATCTCCCATATATAAGCTCTACAAATAAAATAAAAAATCAGTTTTATTTACACATTTATTTTCGCAAATACACAGTATAGCATGGAAAATATTTGAAAACCAAATGCTAAAACTAATAATAAATATGTAATTTTTAAAAAGCAAAATTTATAATGCCTAATTACAAATATACTAGATTCAAAAAAAAAAATTTATTTTAAAAGAAATTCAGTAAAAAAATTATTTAAAAATAATTTAGATTTACTACTTAAATTACTCAGAGAATCCTTTTTAAACTAAAATTGGAAATTGTGAAGTTACAAAAGAAAACAAAAGTAAATTTATGGCATAATGATATTTAAGTATGGTGTAAAAGTTTAAAGGTACAGGGACCAAAATAGGCTAAACTACATAGGGGTTATAAATAGATATTGAATCAAAAAAGAAATAGAAAAATCAATCAGGTAATGTGAGGTCATTGAAACTAAACAAGACAATTTGCAGAATATTTAACCCAACACCTAATACATTTAGCACATTTCTTATTACTTAATAAATTATTTTATAAGTAAATAATTTCATTAATAAATAATGTAAAATTTTATATTATTTCATTAATAAATAAGTTGATATTTTCTATTTTAAAAAAGGGAAAACAAAATCTATAAAATAAAATTCATAGAAAAAATAACACTTATGAAAAAAATTTTAAAACTGCATTCAAAATAAAATAAATAAAGAAGAAAAAAAAAGAAGAAAAAAACTTTAAAAGTTAAGCTCCAAAACAAGTTAATATAAATACATCCATATTTATAAGCAATTAAACAATATATAAAATGAAAAAATAAATAGAGCTTAAAATAAAATGTACGCATAGACAAAGTTGAAATATAAAAATTCCTCACAAGACATATACATATATAGAAACCACTTTTGTAATAAGATAATACAAAAAAGTGATTAAAATGCAGATGCATTTCAGTGTAGCTATTTTTAACGCAATCAGAATTTTTATTCAACTTTTCATGCTTATGATACTCCGATCAAAACATTCAAAAAGGAAAAAATGAATACTTGTCATGGATTCTATTTATAACTAAAAATTATAGCAAAGGATAGATAAAGGTTTATAAAAAATAAAAAAAACATATAACTTTATCACACATTTTCTAAGGAATTGTCTTTAAAAAAAAATATGAAAATAGCTTTAAACTCATCCTCTATTTCCCTATAATACTTTGTTAGAGTTCCAGATTTTTACTTCCTGTCACGAATATTCAACTCGAAAAAACAACCACTTCAACAAAAAAAATTTTAAACTAGCCGAGGATAGAAATTTCAACTTGATCAATCAAAATATTTACAGCTAGACACAATCATGCTTTGAAATGAGCACAACTTTTGTTCCATATTTGTACATCCACATCAAAATTCAGATACTTTATGAATAATCCCTAACAAAAAACATTTAAAATGTATTATTATCAAACTTCACACAAGAAAAAGGTTGTTGGATTTGAGCCAGAAAAAAATCACTTTGAGTTTGTTTGTTTTTGATGGTTTAAACCAGTGGTTCTTAACCTTTTTAAGCCGCGACCCAAATTTGAGAAATATGTTCATGTCGCGACCCAAAAAAAAGTCAAAATTAGGCTGAGTAAGCCACAATGACTTCTTCTAGGAGGTGTTGGTATTACTTATTATTTGGTGTATTACTAACTTTTTTGGTTCGACTCAGCGCGACCCAAGAAATATGCTTCGCGACCCAATTTTGGGTCGCGACCCATAGGTTAAGAACCGCTGGTTTAAACCAATAACAAAGACCAGCTAAAATAAAATAAATTTTTCGGAACTTGAGATAATATGAAAGATCCATAATGGTGTTAATTAATTACAGTGTGTGATTGGATGTTAGGAACAATATAGAACAGCAGTTTTGCACTTTAGAAATTTGATTGTTTGAAGAAACAGCACTAAACTTGAGAAGTATGAAAAACAATGATTTTAAACTACTTGGAATAATCAGTATCTGTACTTTTGCGTTCTTTTATTTTAAATTCTTACAATCAAAAAAAAAAATTTTATTATTATTTTGAACAAATCTTACAAATTTATAAAAAATACCTGATAAAAAAAGATTTAGCACAATTTTTAAAAAAAGTTTATTTTGTAGCAATTTAAAACATATTTGGGATGTTTGGAAATACGACTGTAATATGTTTAGTAATTTTGGGCTAATTTCAAAAAAAATTGAGTAGTTTGCATCACTATAGCTACTAATATTTTAGATATTAGTGTTAAAAGTGCCCTTAAAATTAAGAATAAGAAAAATAAGAAATGAAAACTTATAAGTACGAAATAAAATTAAACAAAAAAAAAATTTTATTTTGAAAAAATTTTCAAAAGTAATTTGATTAAAAATTTGATTAATACTAAAGTTAACAGTAAAATTTTAAACTAACACAAATATTTTATTATAAATTTACTTTTCCTGTCAGTCATAAATTGTAAAAAGAATATCTTTTGTGCTTATTAAAAATAGTTTCACTAAGATACTAATTTTCTTACAGTCTGTTTTAAATTTTATTACAAGCTAATACTAAACAATGCGTTAAAAACTATCAATAGGAAAAATTAAATATAAGAATAAACTAGTAAAACTAATAATTAAAAAGAATTTCAATGACTTTCAGAAAGTACAGCTATTTATAGTACTCAATTACAGCTCAAATAACAGTGTAGTAAAGCAAAACAATAAGAAAAACATTAAGTATTATTTTCTCTCTAAATTATGTCAGAATTCTGCGACTTTCTATCAAATTTCCTATTTAAACTGCTTATTTAGGGTCTGTCTGAGGTATTTAGCCTCATAACAAAAAGATACTTATGAAACTGTACAAATATTTACGAATTTGTAAAATTTTACAAATTTAAAAATTTTAACAAAGTTTATTTTGCTAGGAGGCTAAATATCTCAGATAGACCCTAAATAAGCAGTTTAATTAAGAAATTTGTATTAAAGTCACAGAATTCTAATGTATGTTAGAGAGAAAATAGCACCTAATGTTTTTCCTATGAAAAATTTGGTTTTGCATCATTTTCACCGACTTGGCTATAATTTTAGCAACAAATTAATAATTCTGGAAACTTCGAATTTCAAATTGATAGAAAATATATATATATACAATTACACAAGAATCGTCTAGAAACATTTCAAAAGTTCCAAGGATTCGTCATCAAGCCTATGTAAATAGAATAATACCTCATTGGAGTATTAGTTTGTATGATTGTTCTGACCTGAGTTAGATCATTGACCTGTCTGTGATAGTAAGTCCTGTGTTATGTTGTACTACACTATTATTTGAGCAGTAATTGAGTGCAATAAATAGATGAATCTTATGGAAGTTTCTACTATTAATTTTTTGCATTCTTAAGGACTGTTACATTCATTTGCAATCGCAACAATTCCCTGTGCTGGGTATAATAAGTTATTAAACTACTGATAAAACAAATAAATATATTTTGTTATGTATAAGCTTTTATGCATCAAATAACATACATACAAAACTAACAACGTAAAACACCAGGGTTCCACAGTATGTATATGTATGTGTGTACACACATATATATACACACATATATATACACACATATATATACATATAAATATATATACATATACATATAAATATATATCAATACAAACACATATATTGGAAATTTACTTAAACAAGCAATAAGTCAAATGCCTCATAATATTAATAAAGAATACTTGCTTGGGAAATTCTGAAGACATCTCTTTGGAAAAGAGCCAATTAGCTACCGAAGAACATTCAACTATTTTACCTTTC